TGAGCACGTTGAGCGAAAATCAGAGTATGTTTGGCATGAGTTTCACTGGCATCTGTTAAATACAAGATGATGCTCCTAACTAGCCTGCTACAAGTACTCCCAGTTCAATAATAGGGAGTGAAGTGATGGAAGCCTGATACAGGAAATTCATTTAGCATCTGCCAACTTGCGTCACTTTTGATAACGACCAGCAAGATATCCGACTATCTGTTAGAGGACGAGTATACTGCGCTACAGTCCGTTCTGTCTTGTTATACGGCTATGAGGCGTGGTCGTTGAAAGCAAAAGACATGAAACAGCTATAGCTGTTTGATCGTAGGTGTCTTCATAACAATCCTTACATTTGGTGGATTGAATGACTGACAGGATCAACGTAGAACGTCCCACATATGTGCATTGGCTCAAGTTGGCACACTCCAAAGTAGTAAAAACGGAACAAGTGGATAGAAAAAAAGTGATTTCAAGGCACATAAAGTAGTGTAAAAGAATCACCGTGTGAGCAGTGCTGAGGTCAGGCGAAAAGTACTCAATGGCAAGAAAGGCAAGTCGATTGATGAGATTGTAAACCTTAGTGGACTGAGATGACCACAAAATGTAATTCTCAGACCGGTTCACTGCCTACCTTGGCGTGACATGCTAAGGGAAACTGAATTTTGTCGGAAGACGATTCACAGTGGCCATACCAATACCTAGTCTGAGTAGTATGGGGCGGTGCTGACTGCCTGATTACGGTCCTCGAGACGAAAGGAGTCAGTGGTTGAAGACTCTTGGTGACGTGGTTGAAAACCCACCACGATGGCTCAGCTGTATTCACGCCTTGACATCTTCTAAGGCTTGAATATTCGCACTAACCCTTTTCTTCAAATGTTTTAATGCCTCACACAACCTGTTTACTTTGATATCATTCTTTTTCCGTCCACTTTTTATTCATATTCTAGTGAAGTGTGGCAACTTGAGCCGATGCACCTGGGTGCAACGTTCTCTGATGGTCAGTCATATTGCACAGTGCAATTTATCTACCAGTTGCAATGAACCTATGCAAATTTGTAACCAAGTGCACAATAATATGTCAGAATATGTTTTATACTCTATTTACAAGACCTGATGATACCTACCTATTGTGCAGAGTACAGAAGATGGAGTGTTTTATTGGAGGAAAGACTTAGTTAAAAGCACAAAACTCATCAATATCACACAATATCTGCATTTAATACAAATATTTCGACTAAGCAGTAGTCCATGAAATTGTCATTAGCTTTTAAGAAAGGATCCTCAAATCCAGTAATGCAAAAACATCCCACTACCGAAGTTTGGACAGCCAAGAAATCACATTACACCCTGCGCAATGACAGTTGCTCACAGTCTGATGCGTTACCTAAGGAGTTGGTTTCAAATTGCGTTCATGCCACCACCCTACGTCCCCACCATTGGGACTAACATTGTGTATGCTGGAAAAAGCGCAGATGTAGCTAGCTCAAGGCGTGATAATATGTTAAGTTAGAGTATGTTAGTGCATCATGACCCCACATAGATGTGGCTCAGGCGAACATGTAAATCAGTCCATGCAAATATCAACAGAAGTGGCTCAATCAAAACCAGTAGCAGCCACATCGCATCTATCGTGTTTCTTCTGTTATTTAAAAGTAAGAAGAGTGCAACAGACGACTTTTCAAATGAATCTTATCTAACTGCTTTCAACTACTCTAACGCCTTTTCCCATCTATCTCCCATTTATGTTTTCGTGATTTTGTCACATTATTCCCATAGCGAATTTCTTAGCCCCCATTTCCATGGGTACTTAGTTTGTGTTTGAAATGTAAAACAAAATATGTTAGTCATTCGACAGTTGAAACACGCAGCTACAATGCAAAGGTGTGTCATCCACAGGTACAGTTTAGTTGTGCATTTACTTAACTTCAGATCATTAAGTTGCAGGGTTCGGTTTCCCTCTTCTTACTTCTGCTTGTAAGAACAAGTAATACCACCCTCTCTACTACAACAGTCTCATAAAAACATATTTGAGTGGTTACTAAAATATATCTGCTCTAACAATTAGTACTGGACATCCAACCACCTACTAGAAGCTGTGTATTTCGAAGTCTGTGCTGTCTTACTCCATGGTTGTTATATGGCTGCCAAAGATAGATGTGGCTGTGCATCTTCGATCACATGTGCCTGCGTAGCATTGCCCTATGCAGTAGAATATCAGATTGACGTCACACTAAGACAATGAAGGCAAGCTGTGAACGTTAATGGAGACAGAAACATGTGTTTCTAATGCAGAGTGACCGCCTATCCTGACACGAAATGCTAGCCAAATAAGATTAGGTTAGAAGAAAGCTAAGGGTGACCAGAGTGTAACATGGAACCAATACAGAAAGTATTATTACTGCCTAGTTGGGTCTCTTGAGACGCTCTTGAGATGTTCGGAATCAACAGTAGAAGGCGACATAGGTGTTGAATCGATTCACTATTGAAATTTATCTGTGCACTAATTTTATCTCCTCATTTTAGTTTCTTACTTTAAGCCTCCTTTTTGTGTCCTGTTGTGCATTGTAACACTTTGAGCTGATTCACTTTTGCACAGTATCCTGGCTGGGCCTGCCTATCTACCGGTTGCTTTTGTCACTGAAAATGAAAACTATACAGATAATCGATCTTGAAATAAAAAATCAATCATATGACCTAAAGAACATTCCTTAAATTCTAACTAACCCTCATTTAGATAAAAACCAGTCATTTACTCTGTAAACGTTGTACACATTTTGAAAGACAATTCTAGCGTAAAAGACAAAAAGCTTAATGTTTCAAACAGCTTGCATAGATTTTTTTTACTAATTTTACTGAAAAAGGCTATTTAGCTCGGCTGAGTTGAATTACTGACCATACTATTAGGTAAGATATTTTTTGTGAGTCAAACTAATCACATAAACATTTTCTGAAGAGTTTCTGTAACATGTAGTAAATAAAATTAGGCATTTTCAAAGGTTGAATGAAGTAAGAAATGAGGAATATGCATGCAGAACTCAGAAACCTTCGTTCACAGGCATCAAGTTAAAAACCATGCTTCGATTCTATGGGTAGTCGACATATTGTTTACATCATGTTCAGTGAACTGAGAGATTAGCTATCATATAACTACCATTTTTAAAATTCTTTTGTAGGTGTACAACTTACATCAAGACATGAATAATATGTTAATATGCTTTCATTCCAAAAATTTGGAATTCCTACAGCAGTATTTTCTATCGATTGGGACTGTAACTGGTTCCTCTTGCGTCTTCATATAATCTTATGGTTTTGCTCCGAATCTAGCATCGTTAAGTAATTCTGACAGCAGCATGTTTTTTGAAATACTCTGTGTAACATAAAGCGGCCCAAAAGGATAACTAAGGTATAAGATGTTATCGATAAATTGTTACTGTGTCCAAGGCAGATAGTTTTTAATGCAGAACACATCATTCCCCATCAAAATACTAAAAGGTAATATGCACATATTGGAGTTGTTTCTCATGATGTTGTCTAGAAAGACAAAGAATGCCCCACGATTAAACCACCTAGCTCAGAGAACACAACCAAAATAAAATTCGGAACTTTCATGTGTGGGTCTTGAAGGAACTTGCAATGTATAACCTAACAACACCTATCTTTTTAAAATTTCCAGACGAAAATTTCGTAGTTTTCCTCAAACGTTTCCGCTATATACAGCAGTGATTTCAAACGGACACTGGTTCTCCAAATGACGTCATTCAGTGACGAATACTACCTTGAACTCAGTCAGTTCTGTCAAATTTCTGAATTGTATCGAATAGACAATATCCAGAGGACTAAACTGTTATGAAAATATAAATAATTAATACAGGTTAGCTAATCAGACTGTTTTGTAATGAAATTCCATTGTCTGGTATGATACTTTCTGATGATTTAGTCTTTTTAGAAACCGTGTTTTCCTGCTTGTTTAATGGATTAGAAACGTGGCGACTAGAAAGCATTTACGAGTCCATTTATGTTTGTGGCCACCACCACCATGTCTTATTTTTAACAAGTGTTGTGTTGGTATCATACTCTATCTGTTTTCAGAGAACAGGTAAACATACAAGCTAAATTGATGAAAATCCTTCCCACATCGATTTTTAACTGCACTCAGTAATTTATTAAATAAGGTTGTCCGATAGATAAGCTTTAATAATCAAACTGTTAGTAGCATAGGGTTGTTTTTAATATGTTTTACAGATAACTTAATTGACAAAACTGCAGAACATTTAAAATGTTTCTAATTTTTCTAATCAGTTGATATAAGAGGCCAAATAGGAATATGATAGATTTCAAAACTATCTTAAAAGTGCTTAGCACGTTGTGTCAAGTGGATACGTGTTAATTAAAGAGACAGAGAAAGTATTCTTCGTTAAGAACTATTGTCAACACTGTCATCGATTCCAGAGTATTTCATACCTGACATAAATTTTTCGCTGTTTACATGAGCAGTGCACACATTGTGTGTGTCAAATGAAGTTGGAAATCTCTTTAAGATTTGGAATCTTACCACAGAATGAACATCTATCAGCCAATAAGAACAAACATCTAGTCCACTGGTTCTGAGAGTTTTTCATAGTTAGTTCGTCAGGTATGCAGTTTCACCAATCAGATGGAAAACTTAGGTCCAGGAGGTTAGATGTTTAGTGGTAACGAGAAACATTTCAACGAATAGGTTTATTTTAACAACACGATTAAAGTTATTTGATGCCATACTTCTTGTTTCGCTCAAAAAACATTCGAATGAATAGTTAATACTCTTTTCAATAACTTCTTTTTCAGGTTCTACAGTTTGCATCCATACTGTCTAAGCAGAGGATATATTTATGTCAATAATAGTGAGGTCTCAGACAAGCTAGATAACCTAAGCTTCTAATAATAGTCAGGTGTCTGAAATTGGGATACTTAGCATACTTTAAAATCCATGCTCACCTCAAACCCGCATTCCAAAGATGAAAAAGCCTATTGACAAAAACATTTATTCATAATAGTTGTGCAAAGATACCTGTCCATGGAAATATTTTTTTTTAAAATCAGCTATGTAGCATGGAAGTATTTAACAAAACGTCTTTCTTTTTATTTCTTCTTAGGTAACTGATTTCATATGAAAGTCTAGTTACACAGTAAAAAGTTATAAACTTATCAGTAGAAAATTGTATACACAGATGAAGTATAGTTGAGAAGCTTAGTTATTTTTGTAGTGAAAAAACTCAAATGTTGAGAAATTTTACAGAAGACAGACAGTAAGTTAAAACAGATATAAATAACTATAGGAATCAGCTTCATACTCTTGGTAGTTGTGTCAGTACGAGTAACACTAGACTTGTAAAATATAAGCCATTTTTCATTGTGTTCGGTAAATGATTACTGATCTCCCTTGGAATTCAAAATAACTGAAATACCCATCCATATGAGATACGTAACTGAAAAGTAATAAAAAATGAAAACAAATTGATTTGATTAATTTTGTGTAAACTAAGTGGCATATTCGAATCGATGATTTGATAGGATGAAGTAGTGTACAGTTAATTATCTTAAAGATTTGCAGGACCACTGAAAATTACAAAGAATTGAAAATTCAATCACTGTAATGTTAGGATATAATATTAGATTATACTATTGAACACATTACAGTGTCGGTCATATTTGATATCAGGAGATTGCGTAACGTTGTACCCCCTTATGATTTTGATACACATTCCTTACAAACGACAATTCAGAGAAGCAGATTTTCTTTACGACGAATCATTTTCAAAAGCTATACATCGTAATCATAATTACAACAAGACATATATCAACCAATAAGTAATGGATCAGTATAAAATTATCAGAAAGTGTCAGTAATGTCATAAGGTGATAACAGCTAGAATTTCAGCCCATGTTTTTAAAGACGCCTTATAGGATTACAAAAAAATTAACAGACAGTAAAAAAAAAGATGAATAAACTGTCTTAAGGAGACTATGATCAAGGTAAAATTAGTGACTGAGTATATCTCTTTTGAACGCAAATATGAGGCTCATACCACTGGATTGCCAAAAAGTCTGCTGTGTTGAGATGGTGAATATGCACTCCGTTTGATACGTTTGACTTCACTTTATACATGACTTTGAAAGAAAACTCATGGAGCACAGTGACCAGAGTTAACGAAATGCTCAACAATCGAGCTATTAATGGCCTAGGATTCTCCTTTTGACGGCGTTTGGACAAAGCACCATTTATATGGCCTATGTAACCAGTTGCACAATAGAGGTTTAATTGATAAACACACTTGGTTGTGATCCAAAACGGTTGTTTATCCTTTACATACCCTTGAATCATTTGTTGACTGGAGGAAGGAATCTAAAGCCGAGCAGAAAAGAAGGTCTTTTTTAATACTTTGGATAGTTGATTTTTCAGTATCTGTGCCAGTGTATCTCCCTTGAATACAACACTCAATAGTAGTGTATTCATTGGAACCATAGGGATTTCTTCTTTGAAATTTTTAGGCTTCATTTTCTTTTCAATAAATCCTGAAGGATAACCATTCTTGATTAACACAAAAAAACAATTCTAGTTATAAATCTAGAAAGCGCATCATTACAAGTTGAAACATTACTGCACGATCCAGTATTACTTAAAATATAATTTTTATGATTGATGAATAAGCAGGTAAGTTACAAGTTAAGATAAAACTGTCCAGTGTATTTTAACACATTTTACTAGCTGCCCAATTCATTATAGTTCGCGAGGGAATCTCTTCAAAATTAGATGATTTCCCCCACAGTATAAGTATTCATAGTCTTTATTTAACGATAGCGCAGCTCGAAAGTCAAATACGGCATAAACTCTACTTTTATTACACTAAGTAAACGAGAAAGTCTACTCACTACAGGACTTTGGTTGACAAACTCAAGACTACTGGTATGATAGTCTACTGAGGTAAAACATTCACCTTCTCGCTAGGTTTCATTTTCACTTCAGCCAATAACAGTCTTACTCAGTTGTCTCGTGTTTGGGAGTAAAGTGACTGTTCATACTAGCTACGCTAACCAGTTCCTTTATTCTTGATGAAAATTATTCCCAACTGAAATGTTACAGCCACCAATTTAAAGATAATCAAATTGCATAATATTTGGTTGATAGACTCAGAACAGCAAGGCAATTAGAGTATTTTAGAATGAACTGTTAAGTACGTCTCATTCATATGATAGGTGGAAGTTCGAGTAACACAGAAATCTGGTGAACATTCGAACGAACCGGCTTATTCGACAGAAATTTAGGTTGGTAGACAGAGGACTACAAAGTGGAAACATTCAGGAATTCATGGTTTTCGGTAAGTACACACAGCACTTTTAAGTATGAAAATCATTCTTTAAAGTAAGTCGTTTTGCTTCGATTAAAACCTGTTACACGAAATACTTAGTGGTAAATATTTAACAGCGAAGTTGAGTAGCATGTAATCTAGTGAACAAAGCTGCAACCAATGCCTAGGCATTTTAGGGATGTAATTAAATAGTACAACTTAAGACATACAAATAACAGTCATTTTGAACTTTGAAAAACCTAAGTGAGAACAAAGTTTATGAAATGTAAATCAGTCTATTAGGTTTCACCTTTTTCCTTCATGCTGATTTGCAGTAACTTGCCGCACATCAAAGGTTTTTAATGAGAATTCCTTTACTTATGGTTGGTTAGTAAGAAAATATCTCAATAAATTGATTTGCACTTCAGAAAACTACACTTGGTTATCCTATACGCACTCGTGTATAGATAAGTGGTTTTAAACGTAATTTGCTTCTTTCAGAACACCCGTATAATTCTTCTATCAAGCAGGAAAATCAGTGAGAGATACTCATTACGACAAATGATTGTATCTGTAACCTCTTATTTTAGCTACGTAATTAAATGATCCAGAAAAATCATCCAAAATACTAACGTTGTTCTTGTTGGCTGACAGAAAAATATTTTTTAATAAGTATTCGGAAATTAAAAAGTAGTGCGCTATGGAAATAAAAACAATAGTTCCGTGTAATATGTTAGTAGAGTCCTCTTTCAAATGGAACTTGTTAACATAAGAATGTTGTGTACAACAATGACAAGAATATTGACTGTTACTTTCATACCTCTTAAAAGGTGGTTTGAAAGGGGAACTTAAGGAAAATTACATTAAACTACAGAAAATTATAAACTTCGCAAATTGAGACTATCATAATACAAGTAACTAAACTAAATATTCTTGTACATGAAATATAAAGTTTTATTTCTACATATGAGTGCTTTCACTTTGCAAAATGTTAAATAAAAGTTTTATAAACTGTTTGATATCATTTTGTAGATAACAAAGAATGAAACTAATACCGATCCTGAGTAACAGTAAAAAGACTCGGTGCTCGAAAACTTAACTGTTGGTCAGTGAATAGATGCTTGTCAATAGACCTAAACTATTTTCATGATTCAGACAAAAAATTACTAGACTGATAGCAATATTTTAAGTAGTATATCTACATTGATACTGTCATCAGCGGTAAGTTGCTACCATCTGATAGATGAGATTTTATGTTTAGTTTACACGTTAGGACAACATATGTTTTCAAATTTCTTTTTTTAAAGTTAGTTGTAGATAACTCCTTTATCTGAAATCTGCTTAAACCCGATATTGACACAGAGTAAAAACATCTAACAAATTTAAAGCATCTGATCCCTTTGATAAATTTTAATAGCGTAATGAGAAGATGAAGATTATCTGAAACATGTAATATATTAGCAGTATACATTTCGAACAATCTTATCACACATAGACTTGTCGAACTATTTATATGGAGATTTAAGAAAATGGTCAATGAAGTCAACAGAAAACATAGGAATAAGAAGAGGAGGGAAAGGACACAAAATCTTGGTATGAAAATTAAAATAAATGTTAGCAAGGTAGGTTCAATGTGAGTACAAGTTGTTTTTGTATACATAAAGGGGGTTTACATTTAAGGATGGCAAGAGCTTCAATAAACTTAAGCACTTGGCCATGACCACTTTTATGTAGTACTTTAAAATCTGTTTTCATGTCTAGCCTGCGTTTAGTTCTAGTATATGTTTAGCAACGTTTGTCACCTGCATTTGTCGGATCTGTTGAGATCATTTGTTTTTGAAACCGCTTAGGTACAAGTTCAACTGTCTTTAAATGCATATCACGAATACTCCTCCCTATGTATCTGTATCCACATATACATGCGAATTGATAAACACAGTAGGATATGATGCAGTCATTTAAACTTTCTCTTGGTTTGTATTGTAACATGAACTTTAGCTTCTCTACAATGAAAACCTTGGCTTCATAATATGCTTTACAGATGGCTGGTCTAAGCCTTTTTCCTTTTTATGTACACAAGCACCACCCAGTATAAAAACAACTTGTGCTCAGGTTGAACCCAAGTTGTAAATATTGATTTCAATTTTCACACCAACAATAACATGATTCAGAATTCGTTTTTTCTCGACATTTAACAAATTTACTGCAATTGTAACCATTCCTGCCAAAATTTCGTAAATTCCGTTGGTTCGTAATACTCAGCTATTGGGTTAAGTGAGTTTTTGTCAGGACCGATTCACTCCCAGACGTACAACTATGGACTGTTTGAAGTAAATCTGTCATTTTACCGAACGGTATACAGTAATCGTGTCTGCACAAAAGGACTTTTCAGACAGAATCTTATCCGTTAACCAGCTAGTTAAGTGAGCTTGCTGATAGTCTAATTACTAACTATTAAACACTTCAACAGGACTGAAAATGTTTCTTACTGATATATCTATTCAGGTCATTTTGCTATATATAAACCATCTCATCTATTCCAATTAAATGATTAAAAGCTGTAATCCATCATACAGACGTCACTGTTATTTTTATTGTTGATCTTCCCTTGGGTTCCCAGTGGAACATAGGGCCTCAGTAGAACGTCTCCATTGCACTCTGTTCTCTGCAGTCTTTTCAACCTAGCTCCACCTTTGCCCACAAGCTCCCATTTCTTCTTCACATGCTCTCCTTAATGTCACACTCGGACGCCCAACTCGTCGTTTCCCTTTTGGATTCCCCTCGACGGCCTGGCCTGTCGCGTGATGTCCCCAACCGGTCTTCTCAGTGTATGTCCAATCCATCTCCACTTTCCTCTGCATATTTGTTTGGTGATAGCTTCTTGGTTGGCTCGTTGCAATGCCAGAGTTCCTTGTTGCTTATTCTTTCTGACCATCTGATCTTCGGTACCGAGAGTAGTCAGCAGTCGATGAATGTCTGTAGTTTGTTGAAAATGCTTTTCATGACACGCCAAGTCTTTCAACCATCACATAGAAACACTGATATACTTGACTGAATTACTGTTGAAAATCCGGATTTTGTTCACTCTTTATGCTGAGTACAGTGGAGCGCAGAAAATATCCACACTAGTTTCAGATTAATGCAAGAAGGCCTATCATAATGTCTTTTTGATCCTGGCCGCTTTGACGTCCTCATATGTGCCGTCGCCTGTAGTTGAAATGATGTTGCCTAGGTAGGTGGGTGGAAGATACAACTTCCTTCAGATTTTTCAGGCTTATGGTGATGGGTGCTTGTTGTTGTTGGTTGGGTATCATCACCACTACCGTTTTTTCTACATTCACTTGAAGTTCCGCCTTCACTGTCCTACCTCTTCTGTCAAATTGTTGGTCTTCGCCTATAGATCTTAGAGTTTGCACGACAAGACATTAGACACAAATCATCATCGCCGGTGAAATCCAAATCTTCCAGGGTCTTCCCATCGGTCAAACAGCGTATTCCCATCTTCTCACTCCTCGCAGTTTGTTGCATGATCCCGCCCAGTCAAAAATAATCAGGAAGATCATCGTTGATATTAGGTGGCAGCCTTGTCTTACTCCTGTCTTCACTTCAAAGGCTTTCCATTGTGAATCACTTGGCAAGTGACTTTTTCATATAGCTCTTGAATAAGGTTGATAGAGGGTTGTGGCACTGTTACAGTAGTGTTGAAGCAGCTGCCTGTCAAATTACTTCTCGATCGACGATGTCCATAACCTGTTCAAAATCGATGAAGTTGAGTTGGAGTTGAGTTGACTGCCATTCTATGCTGTGTTCTATGATGATGCGTAGAGTTGTAATTCGGCCCACACATCATTTGTTCTTCCCAAATCCAGTCTGTTTCGCTGGTAGTTTTGGATCCAGCGTATACTTTAGTCTCTCCAGGATGATGCGGCTTATTTTTTTGCTTGGGGTGGACAGGGGTGGAACATGATTCCACACCAGTTCTTACAATGACTTAGGTCTCCCTTCCTTGGAAGCCTGACAAAGTAACCAGTCGATCAGCAGGTACTTTTCCTTCCTTCAAAACCTCTGGCAACAGTGGTGTGAGCATGTTCACTGTTGTCTCTGGGTCTGTTTTCAGTGCATTTAGAGGAATCCCATCTGATCCTGCTGCTTTCCCGTTTTTCAGCTGCTTTATGGCGTCCAGAACTTCACTTCTGCTGTTGTTGGAGGGCTTGTGTTCACTGGCAATTTTCGCGGTTGCTGGTGTTATTTCTGGACGAGTTGCAGTTGGTGGTGGTGGTCGATTCAAGAGTTTTTTGAAGTGGTAGGATCATTGTTTCTTTTGTTTCTCCTCTTTGATAACTAGCTTTCCATCACTGTATGCAGTGTATTTGGGTAGGAGCAGTAAAATTGAAAAAGAAGTGCAAATAATCAACCTACCGCAGGCCCATATGCATAACACATATTTCAGTATTGAAGTAATTAGGCTACTCACATCAGTCACTGCGATTACACAGAACTTTGGTGAAAGCATGTTGCGCTCCTTTTCTTTCACTTTGAGCGCCTAACTATTCATGAAGTGATTGTTTTCCGTATACTGGTGATTTCTCAAACTGACGTTCAAAAAATTCACACAAACATTTTCATTCTCAGTGTATATCCGAATACACCAGTGGTTTATGAGAGGATGAACTGCACAGCTGATTCCAACTAGACATGTCAAGCCAGCTTCTATAAATGAATTGGAAAATACGAGGCAATAATTATTCCGGTGAGTGTTCACTGAGTTTGTTTCGAGGTAATGATTATAACTGAATTCCAAGATTCCACCTAATAACTGAGCACCATTAACCATCTATTCAGTTGCTTACTCTTATATGAGACTTTGATTTTCGATCACCTGGTGGATTCCTGCCAATTAGCTTCATCACAGTATGGCTTCAAGCTTGTTTAGATGATCAAAGTAAGTGTTTTTGCACCTTTGACATGGTGACACTTTTACTGCATCGGTTTAAGCAGGATATCCGTGAACCTAAAAGGATGTTCAATCTCATTTTTTACCATGGTCTCACGTCGTTGTAATACAACCTATTTTCTTTTACTCTTCGGAATCGTTTTTTTCTTACTCGTAATCATAACAGTAAGCATATAACTCAACTGACTAATAATGAACTTTTATCTTTTTTTCTAATATTTATAAATACGATTGTACTACTTTAGGAAATGAATTCGTTGAAAACAAAATTTCCTTCGCTGATTGACCCTTTCCTTTCTTGATCATATAATGAACATATTTCAATGTTTTGAATGAAGTCTGATTAAGCTGTTTAAAATATCAATTGCCTGTTGACTTTAGAAGTTTTTGTTGTAGTTTCTTTTAAAAAAGCATCAACTATAACTAAAGACGATATCGTTTCACATTTTCATGTATGAGTTACACAAAAACTGCTTCTATTAAAAGTAGTGAGCTTTTTTACGAAAGAGTAGTTCAAATCAAATTCTATACCACGGAGTTACAGGACGTTAATAGGTCACCGTAAAAAATGAATCAATAAAATTGCTTCATTTTGATCAAGAAAGTAGTTCTTCTTGTAAAATAAAGAAACCTAGTTAGTTATCACGATGTTCGACAGGATAGCCTTGAAAGTTGTTTATGAAGTCTACTTTTTCATACTGAATTTAAGTCTATGTTACTAAACATGATGGCATTCGATAACAGAAATATTGTACAGTTTCAGTTTAATATCCTTGTCCACGAATCTTATTACTGCCATTTCAACTAAGGGAACAATTCACTCTGTTGTATATTTCAAGATAACAGTACCTATACTAAACTTTATTTCAACAAATGTGCAAGTTTAGACATAATTTGAAACTAACAGATAATAATGATTAACGATTTCAGCTGTTTCGCTGAAAATAAAATCGAGTCAGTCACCATATACAACAGATCTGCTAGTTAGTTAATATTGCTTATTCGCATTCAGGAGTTAACACTTTTATTTTCATCTTGAACCTTGTCAGTCCTGCTTAAGAAGATTTCAGACAGGGCTGTGATATGCGTATGTTAATGACAAACTGGGATATACTGAGCTATTTTTTACCGACAGATAAAAGTCAACACTTACAAATTGAAACAAATGTATTTCATTTCAGTGTTTATTGACATTCACAGACAACTTTAAAGTACGATGTTTATTATGATATTTCTATAAACTAATGTAAGAAACTCTAACCAAAGAAAATAGGATGATTATCCGAAAGATACTGTCATTCATAGGAACTACGATGTCAAAAAGTTAAGAGTGATGATTACCATTTGCATTTTGCTTAAAACAATGATTCTTCTTTCTGATGTACCATGAATTCATTAAACCCATAGAATAATGACTAGTGTAAATTGAACTTGATGAATTAGTTTAAGATATGGTGCAGCTAAGTTATGATTCCTGTAGAAATGAGCTTTTCTTCATTTTACAAATCGGTATGTATCAAGACGGGAGCTCATCATACGCTTTCAGGTAAAATGACGTGAAAACTGGTGGTGAAATATGGATGTTTTCAAGATATTTGAAAGCATGGTTTTTCTACTTGGAAACTTTCAGTTATTCAACTACATCTAATTTCTGATCCTTGCAAAATAGGTGGGAATTGTACTAATGAACAAAATGATTAGCAATGAACCATTCTTGTTGATCTTCAAATTCATTTAGTGAACTCAAAGTAATTTAAACACCAGACCGTTGTTTAAGTTTTTTCCGGTCAAGATGATCAGCTAAATACGAAGACAAATGAAGCTCATAAATGAGTTGAATTAATTATGTTTACTGAATTTAGTTGGCTGATTATCTACTTGCTAATTATTTGCGAAAATGCATATTATGCTTAGAGATTTCTGATAACTGAGTATATTGCGAACTGTTTAACCATGGTGCCACCATAAGCTACCGCTACTCGAATAATGAGTCCATTTTGCAGCTTTAGGGAAAGTCGCACCGTCTCAGAAATTTGTAATCGTGTCACATCGAACAGAGGTAGAGAGGCTACTACCAAATGAATGAGTGTAAAAAAGAATGAAACTTTTATCAAGGACTTTTTACTGATAGTTTCTAGTTGTAAAACCTCAATGCATATACAGATGCCACAACCTAGCTATTTGTTCATAATGTAAACTTATCTAGTGGAATTATATCAGTAGCATAAACTAGACGGCATAAAACACTAGTTAGTGAACAAAATACATTTTAAGTAATACTTTGCATAGTAGTGAACTTACCATCCGAAATTCCTGCCTAAAACACAATGCCAAACACCACCATCATATTTATCCATATGCTTTTTCACATAGGCTGCAATGTCTCTTTCTTCATCATACTGTTCTGTAGCTATTGCACATGTGTCTACAACAATCTTCTGTAGTTCTGCTTGCATATCAGATGATTTCATGAGTGCACGACGATTCTCAACTTTCTTATCCATCCTGATGAATAGGTATTTTTCTCTACGCCTTTATAACAGTTCCTTTTATCGGGAATGCGTGTATGCCTCTCTGCACGTGTTTTTATACTGATGTTATGTAGACAATCTCAGAGTTGTTATACAACTGGTAAGCAATTTATATTGTCACTAAAGTGTAGGAATATAACACAATATTTCAAAGAAGTCTCCAGATTTTATCAGCTCAGCATAAAGAAATGTAATAAAATGGTTCACTGTCACTCCACAAAAGTATTTGATTTTTTTTCTAAAACATTTTTAAGTCTAGAATACTGAAGACATTTTCACATTATTCTACTTCTTTACTATTGCTTAAAATCTATCCAATCTATACCGAAGATGAGAAGATTTGTGCTCTTGCATGTGTGTTCATACATATCTTTTTTCATTTACAATATGTGTACATTTGTGTTAAGGTACATTCATATTATGGTCTGATGTTTCATATTATATAAAAAATCAATAATTATCTGGCTACAAATAGTTAAACAAAAAAATTAGAGCGTTTAGTGTACACCAATATAATGCATTTAACAATACTGTATTGTTTACAGAATAAATATTATTTTTAATGAAAATAAGCATATTTTAATTGCTTATCTGTATCTGGATTACGTGTAAGCTTCTAAATGCATAATTACTTTATGAATTTGTCTAGTATTTAGCACTGGTAACAAATATACTTGTGTGATGAAGAGTTGAGAAGTTGTACTAAAATTTTTTAAGAGTGGCAGCCCCGTTTTGAAACATCTGACACTTGGATTTTGTATAGAATTTTCACTAAATGATTGTATTTGTTATAATTTTTAAAATTGTTAAATGAAAGTAATATTTTGCTGAATTGTGCTAGCGTTTACTTAGCACGTTATATAGAAAAAATTACTCAGGCAATCTGCAAACAAAAAACTGGCGCCATTTCATATTTCATTAATATTACGTTATAATTACAGAGAAATTTTTAAAGTCTTGATAATTTTCTAATTAAAATCCTTCACTAGATATTTAACATTAAAAATACCACCTAGAAATGAGTAATAATAAAACTTCTTCCCTCTAAGCATGCAGACATACGGATTGGTAATGAGCTTTTAAATATCTGTAAGAAATAAGCATACTTCAGTGATGCCTAGTACCATACTTTTTAGATTAATAATGATTGCACTATCTTTAGTCTACGCCAGATGGGAAACGTAAGGCAGGAAAAATGTGAATAGGGAATCGACATTAAACTCCACAGAAAAATATGTTAGTAACTGAAACAATAAGACATTAGAAAAATGGTGTATTGGCTGAGACTATCGTGAATCAAAACAGCAAAACGAGAATTAAAGAATAAGGAGTAGAAACAAAGAACTTAGCCAGTGGACAGGAAAACATGAGGTTTTGAATCAAAATGTTGACCTAGATTTAAACGGAACAAACTGAAAGGTAACTAGTGTTTCTTTTGGGTGACTCTAAAGGCCACCCTAGCAACGATCAAAACAAACAATTCGGTTCCTTCATTTCGGCTAGGAAGGCAAATTTTCATATGATAAAGAAGTCTGATTGGTTATTACAGTAGTTGCTGGGGTGGCCTTTAAGGTCGCCCTTTCGTTTTCACTCTGGGTTCGAATGTTATGTCCAGTGTTCAGCCCAAGCTATTATTATTACCTAGAGTTACAGACTTCTTCTCCTAATGTCATATGATGAAAGCAGATGCACTTCAATTTATAGTTACTTAATATCACAGCTGAAAACATACAGCGTGAACTAATGGTCAAAAACTCGATTTTGGCCAGATTTTTACTTTGCTATGCTTACCTGTTAAGCATAAGGAACGGTTTGCTTTCAGTTCAAAATTCAGTCAGAAAATCAACCTGAACACCCAGCCAGTCAGTATCAACATGCCACATGGAATTGCAGGACAGTCGTCAAAGAATCTACACCTCTAACCAGCACATCACAGCACAACAACAAGAGAGACGAAGAAATGGAAACAATTTCGTAAAGTTTTTATAAACCTCTACGACAAAAAGAAAAGAGATTGGAACAAAAAACGAATCAATAGTTGACAGATAAGATGAATACAGGGCATAGAATCATCTGCGTCACTGTTCAACAATATGAGTCGTATTGGTCAGAGTCTTCAATTGCAGGTTTCGGTTCGCACACATAACCCGACATTTTTTGTCAGGTATTTTTCGTTTATCAAAGCACAGGATAGTAGTACTGTTTACTTGATAAAGTATCACTGGTCTACTTTAAATAAACAAAACTCATATGGAATCCTGTTTACATCAGTTTCCTAATCTTATGCTTCTATTTAAGTCTACATTCTCCAAACTTGTTTCAAACTAACAGCAGGAGACTTTATGGACTAACCCCACATTTATTCTTGTCAACTTTTCTCACGTAAACCTACCTCAGTTAAGATCGCTTATCGAGGAAGATGATGCTAAGGCTTAGATTAATCATGTTCCAATGACCTAATTTGATCCTTGCTTAAAATTTCACTTACCCTTTTTTACATTTAGCTTTACACCTGGCCTACAAGTTACTAAAGTGTTGCCTCAACAATGCGAGTTTACGGGTTGTAAGGCAGTGGTGGTCAAAAACTTGAAGCCTTTTCACATGCTCCAACTTTATGCACAATGTTTCGTAGCCATTAAGTAGAAAAGAACAAACTACCGAGTGGTAAACTCAGTTGTTTTTGGGCAACTAGATATTTTTTTCTCTGCTTTAAGTAGAAAAATTTGGAAAAGTGTAATTGCACTTTTTGGATTTCTGAAAAGACTTCATTGGTCACCTTTTTTACTAAACTACTTATCAATCCAGTCTCATTATAATTTGTATTCGTGAAAGAAACGAAACTATTACAGACATTCTCAAATTCTCGCCCAAATTCCTCACAAATCAGTTTTTTTCACTGTCTTTAACAGAGCATTGTCATATGCGTACTCCAGGTTAAGTAGGGAGCTTTTTGTGAAGACTTCCATTTTGGCAAAACTGAAGAAAGAGGGATCACTATAAGAATGGATATGATAGAGTTAAATAAGAATGGACAGAGTGGATTCCCACAATGGACATCAGTTGACGCAGTAAACTCAAGTGATAGTTAACCATAAGTTTTAACATGATTACAAATGTTCGCTTACAAATCCCAGAATGAAAACTGCACATACTGATAACCTATGGAACTTCATTTCATAAAAGCAGCATTCGTCATACTGATTCTTTTACGCATGCTTCTCATTTTTTGACGACTGGGACAGTCAGAGATTAAGACTGATCCAAGTATATCATGTTTAACTTCTGTATGTGAAGCGATACATCAGTCAGTCTAAAAAAATAATCCTGGACCACAGTCTTTAAATGAGTTCCCAGCTGGTTTGTCATGGTCTAGTTCCGTTTCACGCTTAAGATTTTTGACAGCCTTTTACACTTCTTCAAGAGCTAGAGGCTCTATGTCAGTGCAGCAGATGGACAGCAAGCAAGTGAACGTAACTGGAGTCCAGACAGATATTTCCTGTAAGTGTTTTGTCCGTTGTTGCACTTGTTTCTCCTGAAATTGTGTCGCCGATTCGTCTGTGTACGCCACAGTCTCACTGACTACCCGACCTTCTGCTGTAGTTCGCTCATAAAAACCTAACTAACTCCCTTTTGTTGCACGTAATCCCTGCCTTTTGTATCTCTTTGATTTCGCTACTTACCTCTACTCATAGTCATTTGTCAACTCATTGGCACCTTACATTTGAATTGTTTGCACTTAATGAGAGCGAAGGATGAATAAAAGCTTTTGCAATTATGCTGCAGCGGGCACGCAATAGCTGAAATTAACTGACTGTTCCTTAACTTTTTAAGAAGGTCATATACAGACACTACTTCTGTTTATGAAGAAGACAAGGCTGCTACAAGATGAGTAGCATTGTATTTTCACGATGTCCATCTAGTCAGTTCTTCTTTTAAAGCACCCTAAGCATCATTAGGTTGATCTTGAAAGAGTCTTTCAGTTAGAGTTAACCTGTATCTGCTGAGGTCAAGCCATCTCTAACCAACTTTTTTTCACTGTTCATATATAAGGTGAACAAGAAACGACAGAGCTTCTCTGGGACTCTCCAGCGATACCTTGAATGGATATGATTTTTCCTCATTCACAGTTTAGGTGAGTTCGGTGGAAGCCACCTTATATAGTGTCTTTTTTCATGTCTAACAACTAGTGCTACATTGAAATAAGAGGTTGACTGGTGACAGCTGTAGCAGGCAATTGCCATAACCCCTACTATAGGTTTCATTTTGAAAATTCAATATAAGTGCACTTCTATTCTGTTTTAGTCTGTTTATTAGAAATGTCACACAGTGAAACAGTATCATTAACTGGATAACATTTCGGACATAATTTATTGTTCATATTCATATCAGGTGACTCCACAACTTCCAGACAAAGTTTATATGTTCCTAATTTTCTCTCCTTCTCTGTGACGAGAAGGGTAGTAGAATTTTCCATAAATCTGGGATAAGTGCAGAATCATTTTGATTGCATGTATTTGATGATGATTAGATAAACAAAGATTAGGTTATCGAACTCTCCCTCCACCCAACTAAGTTATTTTTTAAAGCTGTCTCCTTATCCCGCCCTACTGTGTGATTGTGCGTAATTACGCGCAGAGCTATAGCCGAGCTTTTCTCTAGATTTCTTATCTTATCAGGTTCTACTAACCTTACTTTAATTAAGTTTTTATGCTCTGTTATTCTAATCGACCCTGGTCGACTACTTTGGCTACTTTGTGGAGTCACCTGATATGAATGTGGATAATAAATTATGTACGAAACGTTATCCAGCGTGTAACATTTCTAATAAACAGACTAAAATGGAATTTAAATCGACTACAATGCTCAAGTTTCACTTCCATTCAGTTTATCTCTCCTACTTGTTCACTGAAGTAACCCACCACCGCGACGACACTTGGATATTTTTGTTTCAGTAGGTGGATAGACAGCCTTTAACAAAAGTCATCTTTCTGTTTAATTGAATTTGACTAATTGGTTGGGTGGACAGAGAGGGTAATTAGAGAACAACGTGTGTCACGATTCTTCTCAGCCACTACTTTTTGATTCAATGATACAGTTAACGTACTGTTATTAACGGACATCCAGTCGAGTAGCGCTGTTTACGTCCTAGAACTTAGCGCTATGATTTCGCTAACAAAATGTCGCTAACCAACCGCAGTCTCATGGTACTATTCATTTGAAAACGGTTACTTTTCACAACAATATGAAGTAGATTTGTGCACATAAAATAAAATAGAAGAATGTGTCTCATTAGACTCACAAGTTTGATTAGTTGGAACGAAAAAAGAAACTCGCTAACAATTGCAAATATTTATGCCAAGCTTTTAACACCATCAACGAGATAGGTCTCCTTGTGAGCGATACATTCAACATGTTCAGTTTAATCGGTAATAAACTGCCTCGTTTCAAACATTAATCCTAGATCAAGACAGTAAGGAAAACAAAAAGTTCAGTGAGGATATCTTTTTCAGAGGTTTCACTATCTACAGTTGCACAACCACAAAATCTATACATTTTTGTTCTACTATGTTCACAAGTTTGTCATATTTTACCATATATTTTAATAAACCAACGTCATTTCCATTTTGTTTCCATGCTAGTCTTGACCACGTTTTAT